TCATTATAATACATAAAATACTGCTCACCAAAGTAGTAATACTAACCTTGTATCATCAAGATAAAGAATGGGAGAACAGATAGAACTTTAAATGATCTTCCTTTGGAGATATAATACAATCTAAGACAGATTTCAGTTTTGGTACTTCATTGTCTATTGAGATGGTAAAATCTCAAGAAATTATTTTTTCATTGTCTAAAATAAAAAGCAGGAAGTCCAGGCATATAGTTCAGCAACATAAGTGCCTGCCTGTCAAGTTCAAGGTCCTGAGTTCAATCCCTGGTAGTGCAAAAAAAATAAAATAAAATAAAAATTAGGACAAAAATTTACCTGCATGACTTCAATATTGAGCAAAACTGGCAGCCCCACCTATATCACTCTGAATGCCTCCATTACAGTTACCGTGTGTTGGTTAGATAATAGCCTCCCGCAGCAGTGTTGTTCTGACCGTAGTTACCACAGTGCATTAGCTGAATAATCACGCAAAGCACACACTTCACTGCTAATTCTTCATGCCCAAGTCACTACAGGAAGAACAGGTGCATACCAGTGACTAATCACAACACCTCTTTCAAAGTCAGTTGGTGACTGCTCACCAGGCACGGATTGTCTACTTCACTCACAGACAGGAAAGCATCCACTTGCGTTGTCTCAGGGGGCTCCTAGTGTAAACACTCTGGTGGCCTTTAGCAAAAGTGGGTAACTGAAGAGGGAACCCGCCGACATGCAAGTGCGGAAGGCAGCCAGTAAGGCTGGCACTAGCTCTGCAGTGTGACAAGCCAGCTGCACGCAGGAACGATGACAGCCTCTGCTGCAGGAGGCCCAGGTCCACCAGAGTGGGAAGCTGGAAGAGGAAGCTCCAAATGGAGATCAGTGAGGAGGGGGGTTGCCCTGAAAAGCAGGTCGTACAGGAAGCGGTGCTGCTGAAGTGAGCTTCTCATCAAGGAAACTCAGATTATAGCACTTCATGGCCCTGGAACTGCAAGTGATAAAATATTGGGACCTAATTTGAACTCAGAAGAGTTACAATTTCCCAAAGTAAGAACAGATGTTAGCTTTGTATTTGAGTCATATGACAAGAAGATAAGCATTATTTAAATTATTCCTGATAAATTTCCTAAAAGGAATTAAATGCTTTAATACTCAATTATTTCAATGCTTTCAAGTACAGTGTATTCTTGTCTTCCTGAATGTCTACTTACACATTTAGATTCAGTTCAATCATTACTTCTTAAAAAATATTTTTACATGGGCCATTACTAAGGATTGAATTACATCCACAGCCCTTTTAAATTTTGAAAGAGGGTCTTGCTAACTTAATAAATTGTCCAAGCTGAGGACCTTGTGATTCTCCTGCTTCACCGCACCCCCCCCACACAAAATGCTGAGGCTGCAGGAGTGGGCAGCTATGCCAGATGAGAATGCCCTTTTTCTATTGGCAAAAATAGTTAAATACTACTTCCCTGTATATTTTTGTATTGCCTTCTCCTTTCTGTTAATATTCTAGAGACAATGCAAATGAGGGAAGCCCTTTCAATAAGGTGCAGCCTACCAGAGAGGAAGCTAGGTATACTTTCCTCCCAGGAGGCAACTAATTCCCATGGGCCTAACAGTCCATGCCGCACTCCTGGTATGAGGAGGCTCTACGGAAGGGTGCCTGCTCCTTTTCTTCTGCTTTCCAGAGGAATTCCATGAAAGCTTTCATTCTCCCCACCCCTTGAGTTAGCTACTTAGGACCTATGCTTGCCAGCTGGAGGCCAGACCTGAACATATGTAAGTGAACACAAAGATAGCTAGCCCAGAAGAAAAACAAAGAAAATAAACATTATTCGTGAGCCCAGTGATTCAGTGACCTAAGTTAGTGTAATAATGATAATAGTAAAGGGGGACAAGAACTTAAAGCCATGCAGTTTAGGAAATCGAATTAGTTCATCAGGCTGCTGGCACAGGGAAGACAAAGTCTAACACAAAAGAACTCTGGGACACAGAGACTGTGCTCTGCCTTTGACTCTGCCTTAGCTGAGTCACTGCGTTCCTACCACCCAGGTTCACATCCTAAAGGAGGATGTAAGACCAGAGCCATTCATGTGCAGGGACCTTCAGGGCATACTACTAACCAGAACCTCAGCAGCCCTTTCTTTTTATCCTAGGAAAACAGGTGACACCAAAATATGGACCCCACAGCACTAGAAAAATGAAGTCCAAACAACAAAGCAAGGACATGGGATTTAAACCAAAGGCTATTTTATTAAACTCCCAGACCTGCAGTGACTGGCAAGGGGCACACAGCAGGCACTCAGTAAATGGTGGGTGGGCTGCTGGAAGGGCAGGCCCTCCCTGGGGTAGGTAAGGATCTGGGAGTAAACGAGACCTGAGGCTGAGTCCAGGTCCGCACATCAGCACTGGGACCCAGCAGGGTCTCCAGTTTCAATCTCCTCCTAAGTAAAACAGAGCTGCAGCTTCTTGTGGTTGTTATGAGGACTACAGGAACAAATGTGTAGGTCAGTGTGTATGCAAGCAGCATATCACAATGAGTACCTACATCCTCTGTTCCACAGACTTCTCTTAGGCACAAGGGGCTCTAGAGAGGTAAGGAGTCCACAGATGGAAAATCGGTAACCTTCCCAAATGCCTCCACTGGCCTCTCCCTCTCCTCCCTATCCTGGGTCCTGACAGGAAAATCTTTTTCCTTCCAAAGAAGAGAGGCTCTGAGGGCCATAATTTCAGGCCCTTTTGCACTGAGACCTGAATACCTCTTGGCCTGGGTAACATGGAGAAAGTGACCTAGAGCTGAGCTCTACAACTAGAAAGATGCAGGTCCAGGAAACTCACCACAGGTGGCCACAGTGCAGTGGTGGCTCCTGCATGTGGGAAGGGAAGTGGAGGTTGGAGGCCAAGGTGAGGTTTGACTGCTCCTAGGAATCTACATGATGCCCAGGAAAGTTCAGGACTTTGTTGAATCACCATGTCAGACACAGTCACTACTTGTGTGTATTTAAGAACTTTGAACATTCACATATTATCATGGAAGATAAACAGATACAGTTTGTGCCCATGAACCTGTTAGTACAGTATGTTTAGGCAGGCACCCTCTAGGGAGTTGACAAAATCTGACCCCTCAGCGACAGAAATAAATGCAGCATTGAGAAGGCATTACAAGAACCGGATTTCTGCAAGGTGAGGCTACCAGGGTGGTGGACAGAGGGGAGAAGGCAAGCAGTCTCCCTAACAAAAGCTCCCTGGTTGTCACAGATTTTTCAATGGAAAAGCAGGCATGACCCCTCCTCCAGGCCTAAGGTAGGGCAGCAACAGGGAAATGAAGATTCCTCACTTAAAACCTAGGGTGGTCCTGGGCCAAAGGCCCAGCAGGTCTGCAGCGGAGAGGGCTGCTTGCGGGCAGTTCTTTTGAGAAAATTTTATTTAATGGCATAATAGGTTGGGTTAAAGCTCGGGATACCACGGAGGCAAACATAATCTTCAGCAAATCTAACAACCACCCTCTACCCCATTCATCTCTGAGGCAGCAGAAATGCACCAGTTCGCCTCCTCCAGAGATCACCTCCGTTTTGAAGAGGTTCCCCTTGCTAATCAGGCAGTCAAAACACCCACCCTAGCAAGAGGGGGAGAAACTCAAATGCAAACCAGCAGCACACTGCACCCAGGACACCAGGAGGGTGAGCCAGACCACTGAGTACAAGGGAGACCCTCTTAATTATGTTCTGCTCCAAACGTCTTCAGGAAGTGTCCAGTCATTTCTCCGTGCTTTTATTCCCTGCAAATAATCCAGGTTGGAGGCCAACATTATAAGCCGCTAGTGACCACCAGAGAGGGAAACGTCTCACTACCAAGTGCCTTTCTTGGCCTGTGTCGCTAGAGGCTCCAGCAAGGGCGCTTTGCCAGAATCTGTGCTGCTTCCGCCTGTGTTCGCCAGCTGAACGCTGATGCAAGGTTAAGAGCCCGCGAAGGTCTGGATGGCGCGTTCGACCTTTTCCAGGGGTCCCCGGAATGAAGGAAGCCTGTGAGCTAGTATGCTGCCCCTAGATGCAGATAAACAATGTCTGATTCGCTTCAACAACCCTCCAGCGACTGCCCTCTGCAGGCTCGCGAAGACCGCTCGGGTAAAGCCCATTCATCTGCGTGGGCGGCCGCCGGGGCGCGGCGCGGAGCCTTGGCACGTGGAGTTTCACGTTCGCACCCTGGGTCTCCGCAGGACCCTCCGCGCCACCTCCGGACCGGAGCGGGAACCTTGGGGCCCTCACACCGGGGAAACAGACATTAATGGCGTAATAGGTTGTCATGCCGTTAGGGCAATAAAATCCCGGCCAGGCCACTAGGGGCCCGCGCCGCACTGCACCCTAATTCCCCGCGCCAGGGCAAGTTGGGCTCCGCTGCCCACAGTTGGAAGGTGCGCGCATAGGGCTGCGGGTGCCCGCGACCTCGTGGGAACTCGAGTTGCGACAGAGGGCTCGGGGATGAGGGAACCCCGGGTGCAAAGCAGCCCCGGAATCCCCGGGAAGCACTTGGATTCCAAAGCTAGAAAGGCAAGAGATCCGTTCAGGAAAGAACTGAAAGTTTCCCGGCGCGCGCACCTTGTGGAGTACAGGCAAACTGTAGGTCGGTCTGCGGGATGAGCCCTGGGAGGGGATGTTTTCATCCAAGATCAGAAGCCCCCGGAGCGCGCCCAGTGAGAATCCGTGCGCGGCTCCCTAGACCTCCAGTCCCGAAGCAGGCCGCAGAGCTTAGGTCCCCGCGATCCCGCGGCCCCCACGGCCTCCCGCAGAGTTCGAGCCCTCAGTGCCGCCCAGTCATTGCTCTCGCCGGGTCCTGACCGCACTTGACACCCCCCTCCCATATACACATCTTCGACGGCAATAAAATCCCGGCCAGGCCATTTGGGGCCCGCGCCGCACTGCACCCTGCCCAGCTCCTTGGTGCTCTCCCGCGCTCCCGCGGGGTCCGGCTCCTCTTCCTTCCCAGCACCCCCATCTCTGGCTTCTCTCCTTTCCGCCCTCTCCCTGCTCCGCAGTCTATGTATACCGGGAGCCCGGCTTGGCTGGCTGTGACAAGCAGCGCGCACCGCTGACCCGAGCACACCCTCAGTCGGGCTCGGGACTGCGCAGCGGCACGGCTTTGGAAAGTCGCTCTTTCCGCGGGATGAAGAGCCCCGTGCTGGACGCGGTCTCCTTACTGCTAGACAAGCTGCTCCTCTCCAATTTAAAGCTTCTCAGTCTGGGAGCTCAGGGAGAAGACCAAAGAAGCAGCCGGTCCTATGAAGTCAGTTCCTTCCTCCGCGGGGACGTGCTGGAGGTGCCCCGCACCCACCTGACCCACTATGGCATCTACCTGGGCAACAACCGCGTAGCCCACCTCATGCCTGACATTTTGCTGGCCCTGACCCCGGACGAGAAGCGCACCCAGAAGGTGGTCTCCAACCAGCGTCTCCTCCTGGGCGTCGTGGTCAAGGTGGCCAGCATCCGCGTGGACACAGTAGAGGACTTTGCCTACGGGGCCGACGTCCTGGTCAATCACCTGGACGAGTCCCTGCAGAAGAAGGCGCTGCTCAATGAGGAGGTGGCTCAGAGGGCGGAGGAGCGGCTGGGCGTGTGCCCTTACAGCCTGCTGTGGAACAACTGTGAGCACTTCGTGACCTACTGCAGATATGGCACCACGGTCAGCCCCCAGGCCGACAAGGTACCACACGTGGTCCTGGGCAGTGGGCTCGGTGGCGACACCCCTCCTGTCGCTGATGTGCTTCCTGGGAGCCGGGTTTACCCTGGGCCACCTTCCACACCACTTCCATGCAATCTCACAAGTTCTGGTGTAGCTAAGGGAGACCAGGTAGGTAAATACATGGCGATGTACTCTACAGGGTTATCTTGGAATGAGGGCAGCGAAAGGGTGTGGCCCTGCTGGGTGGCTTCAGGTGATCCCAGAGCTGCCCAGTGAGTGCTGCAGAAGTCATCAGGCTGTCCACCTGCAACTCCTGCAAAAGTCAAAGTACAGGAACTCTGGGGCAGAGTGCTTGTGACTTTTCCCAAGAATTGCAATTAGAAAGAAGGTGCTCATTGTTTCATTTTATCTTTAACATAATTTTTAAGTGTTCCTATAAAGTGTTCTCCTTTCCCCCCACAAGATTCATACAGTGAATTCCCTTTGTTAATATAAACTATCAGAATTCCCCATAAGTGGACAGTTCTGCTAGGTCCCTTCTAAGCCTGTCTGCTTGAGAGGCCTTTGCCTTGGTACTGGAGAGCTTTTCCAGCTTGGCTTTCATCCCTTAGTAACTGCATTGGTCAGCATCCTTTACTCATTCCCCCAGAGGGAGGTTGGATTGCAAGGTCCCCAGAGACCAAAACAATTGAGTTTCAAGAACCCTTAATTGTTGGCAGGTAAATTTTGTGAGTTATTAGCAAAGAAGGCATTAAAATTTAAGGTTCTTAAATGAACTACAAATCCAAAGAGAAAAACAGTGTTTTTCCTTTTTGAAACTTCTTACTGTAAAAAGTTAGTCTTTTAAGCTTGAGATTCCACTGCAGTTGGAGGTGTCCACAACCTTCACTGTCCCTAAAAAGAAGCACCATCAGTATTCATGCTTCAGAATGGAAAGCAGCGTAATCACACAGTGAGAGTTAGCATCACTCTTCATGTTTAGATTTTTTTTTTTTTTGGACAAAAATTCTAAGCCCAGATCACCATAGTCTACATCTCAGATTTTAAATGCTCTACATCTTGACTCACTTTTTGAACCAGATGGGAAGATCTTCCTCCTCCACAGAGAGCATGAAAATATTCTGCTTTTATTCATTGGTATGTGGAACTTTGTGTAGATGTTTATAGAGCAAAAATAGACTCAATGTATAAATTATTTTCCAAGCAAAATAAAAGTACAGTTAGAGCAGTGTGTGATGATCCAAGAGTGACAGCCCCAGCCCAAGCCTGTTTAGAAATGAATTCCCCACATTTACTCACACTGCCTCCAAAAGCATATGAAGGAAACACTCAAGATTTACTGAAGAGTCTGCTGAGTTCCGGGAGCAGCCAGACCCAGTCCTAGCCCAGGTCCGGTGAGTGTG